GTGACTCAAACAAAATCCCTTCTTGTATCAGGCCAGGCTTTGGTGACACATTGTCTGTTACACCGTATACCAAAGCAGATCATTGTACCTTACACTTATCAGAGACTGAAATGCTGTAGTTTATGACTTAGACATCTTCATGAAGAACTTATGCCTATTATACTGAAACTGTATTACAAAAGCTGCAGAGAAGACCAGCACACCCTGAACGGGGCCCTGACTGAGGCCCTACACCGCTTGCTGAAGAAGAGAAGATGAAGTAACAGCTCAGGGCTGGGGGAGAAGAACACATACACAGAGCACAGGCTTAACACCTTCAGGGTGCAGAGCACAGCTCCAGGGCTGTCTGCTGCCAGGCTCACACAAACCCTCACACCAAAGGCTGGGGGAGAGGGGCTCTGGGAGGGTGATGAAAAAGCCTCTGGTGTGAGGCAGTGAATGCCCATCCTCCGATGAGCAGAGGAGCTCAGCTATGGGGCCTCTTCAGCCCAGGACAAACTGCATCCACATGAAGGACAGAGGGGTGTCATGGCCCACCAAAGGCCCCCAAAAAGGGGTCCCGAGACCCTGCACCAGTGCACTGCAGCATGATGCAACAGATCTGCAGCGTTGCAAGGGACGGTGTCAATCTGGCCCCCTGCAAGGGGTGTTCCCACCTGGCCGAAATGTATATTAATCCTCTGGATTTCATGCTGTTTGGTGTGGCTGTGGTGCTGGAAGGTCCTCACCACCCAGAAGACCAGATGGAGGGGAGCAATGAGACTTTGTTGGGACTCCTGGAAGGGTGATATATTTCTGCATAACCCCCTGGCCCCCTTCCTTCCCGTCTTTTACTATTAAATAAAATATATCAATTTTTTTGGCACCAACATCTAGCTTCGTTTGGTTTTAAAAATAGTTTTCGGAAATATTTCAAACCTTTTTGGGTTTCATCCGCTTTATTCGCAGAGACGTCATTTCCTCTGCCCTTCTGTGTTTAAACCAGACCGTAACAACACTGCCCACCCCGCCGCTCCCCATCCAGCCGCAGTGTCCACACACCCCCAGCACCCCCGTCCAGGCCCCCGGGCCACTGTCCCGGCACCAGCAGCTCTGGGCAGCAGCAGGTGCTGGCACAGCTCGGCAGGCACAGCCGGGGTGTCCCAGGGACGGACAGACGGACGGAGCATCCCGCAGCCCCAGGGCCGCTGCAGCCGCTGCCTGCGGGGCTGGGCACGGTCCGGGCTGAGCCCCGACTGTCACAGCCCCGGACTGTCACTGACCCCATTGTCACGGCCCCCCGGCTGTCACGGCCCCGATAGTCACAGCTCCGACTGTCACAGCCCCAGCTGATATGGCCCTTGCTGTCACAGCGCCGACTGTCATAGTCCTGGCTGTCACTGCCCCGATTGTCACAGCCCCGGCAGTCACTGTCTCGACTATCATGGCTCCCTGACTGTCACTACCCTAGCTGTCAGTGACCCGACTGTCACTGCCCCAGCTGATGTGGCCTCAGCTGTCACTGTCTCGACTGTCCCGGCCCTGAGTGTCAAGGCCCCGTGACTGTCGCAGCCCCGGCTGTCATGGCCCCGACTGTCACGGCCCCGGACTGTCATGGCCCCTATTTTCATGGCCTCGGCTGTCACTGACCTGACTGTCTCTGGCTCGACTGTCAGTGCCCCGGCTGATATGGCCCTCACTGTCACAGCTCCGAATGTCATGTCCCTGGCTGTCACATCCCTGACTGTCACAGCCCCGATTGTCACAGCCCCAGCTGTCACTGACCCGACTGTCTCAGCCCTGGCTCTCACAGACCCGGCTTTCACTGTCCCAACTGTCCCGACTATCACTGTCCTGACTGTCTCGGTCCCCCAACTGTCACGGCCCAATTGTCACAGCCCCAGCTGTCACGGCCCCGGCTGTCACTGTCACGACTGTCATATCCCCGGCTGTCACAGCCCCGGCTGTCACTGTCCCGACTGTCACATCCCTGGCTGGCACAGCCCCGGCTGTCACAGTCCCAACGGTCACAGCCCCCCAACTGTCATAGCTCCGACTGTCACGGCCCCAAGTGTCAAGGCCTCCCGACTGTCACGGAAACTCGAATGACACGGCGCCCTGACTGTCACGGCGCCCTGACTGTCACTGCCCCCCAACTGTCAAGGCCTCCGGACAGTCACGGCCCCGACTGTCACAGCTCCGATTGTCACAGCACAGCTATCTCAGCCCCAGCTGTCACAGCCCCGAATGTCCCGGCCCCAACTGCCACAGTCCCGACCATCATGGCCCCGACAGTCAAGGCCCCAACTGTAACAGCCCCGATTTTCACTCTCCTGACAGTCACGGCCCTGATTGACACATTGTCAGCTGGCACAGCCCCGACTGTCACAGCCCCCCGACTGTCACGGCCCTGACAATCACAGCCCTGGCTCTCACAGCCCCAGTTGTCACAGCTCCGATTTTCATGGCCCCAGCTGTCACTGACCCGACTGTCACGGCCCAATTCTCACAGCCCTGGCTCTCACAGCCCCAGTTGTCACAGCTCCGATTTTCATGGCCCCAGCTGTCACTGTCCCGACTGTCACGGCCCCGGCTGTCACATCCCCGGCTCACCCCGCACCTCCCCAGGGGCCCAGCCCTGCTGCCCCTCCTGAACCCTCACACCGGGCCTCGGCCCTCCTCAGCACAGAGAACCCCCCTAAACCCTGAACCGTAAGGGGACAAACCCAAACCCTCCACCCTGGCTCCATGAGGGCCCGGCGAGGGGTGGGAGTGTGGGAACAACGCCTCCCTGTTTTCCCTCTCCTGGAAGCCGGGAATACAAACGAATTGCAGCTGGCCCTGTATTAGACCGCAGATTTTGAAGATAAGGCAGAGAGCTTCCCATTCCTCAGCATTCTTTCCTTATCACAGCTTCCCGCTGCTATTTGCCTTAACCATATTTCTCCACGCTCCCCTTCAAACCTTTCCCAAACCAACACAAGTGCCTGTTCTGGAGACCCTTTCTCGGTGCCTCTCATGGCCCCCTCTGGGCGTCCATATCCCTAACTGCCTCTGAGAGAATGTGCAAACCCTCCCAACATTCTCCCAAAGGACCCTCTGGAGGTATTTTGGGATCATCATCCCTATAGTCGAGACCCTTTTTTGACTTTCCTTTGTTGCCCACCCTGAGCATCCTGCCATGTTTTGCCCCCCCCAGGTTGTACTCACCTGTGAGATTTGCCGAGACTCTCCTCAACCTTCTCTCACTGCCCCTTCTGGGCATCCATGTCCAGTGGTCCTTTCCTGGGGAGTCTTCACGGACACTCCTGGTCCGCCTCTCCTGTCTCCTGGACAGTCAGAGCACCCCATCAATCTCCTGCTGCTGGCCAGCGCCGAAGGGAGCCGGTCACCAAAACCGGGCCAGGCGCTGCCAGCTCCTCCTGCCGGACCCAGACGAGTCACCATTGCCAGGAAAATCCCACAAACGCCAGAAGTTTGTGCCCAAAAAGGAGGCAGAGGAGTTCTCCAGCTTCACTCAAATAGAGGGACAGAGTCCATCAGGGCACACACCTGTGAGATTCTCTCCCTCCAGGTTCCAGAGGGCTTCCAGGTTCCTCCTTTTATCCTAAACTCCCGGCCACAGGTTGCCCTCTTCCTTTGCCCATTGGCTGAGGCACAGGGAAGGCAGAGCCTTCCCGAACCGCCTGCCACATCTTCCCCCCTTGAACCTCCTGTGTTACCCCAAAGCTCAGAAACTCAGGCTGTGCCTTCCCTTGTGTGTGTCAGGAGCCGGGCTCTGCAACAACCCTGCTGCCCAAAGCCAGCAGAGACACTGGGACCCATTTCAAACACATTGACACCCACACCTTCACCCATCAAATTGTTTGTAGTAATCGCATAGATTTGCAACAGTGCCATTTCAGAGATTTATCTATAGTGCAGTGGGCTCTAAAGAACTTCCAGGGCTACAGAACATGTGCAGACTCAGAGGTGCTTGCCTTCTGAGAGTTCACTAATTGATAGCACCTGAAGTGATGTGCTTGGAACATTTCCAAGTGTTTGTTTTCGAGTGTTTTCCATTCAAAGCAGTGTCAGAGCTCTATAGGGGCTATATTGCCTACATTGACTTTTGACCTGGAATTATGTTTTATGGAGCCAGCAACTCTCACACAAGGGATTCACTGAAAAGTCAAAGCAGATGTGCTGTAAAATGCTCAAAATTTATTAATCATAATTTCTTTTTTGTTTCTTAAGGAACAAAAATAAAATAATATTCAAAAACAAAAGAAAATATACCATACCCAGACAACATGACAGAGAGTAAGAAATGGGATAACATTAATTCTGAAAGAAATTACCCAAAAAAAATCAGTTAAAAAAATAATAAATAGCAGTGGTTCAACTTTTTAAAGCTTCCTAGGAAAGAATTTACAATTATTATTATTATTATTATTATACTTCTGTTTAAAAAAAGTCCTTCATATGCCTCTGTTGGCAAATATATATATATATTTCTTCTGTAAACAGTTAACCACATAACAAAATAAAAAAATCCATATTTTCATACAGCTACTATGCTGATGGCATTATGTAAACAAAAAGGAGTGTGCAGCAGCTTCTCACAATAGGATTTTTTTCTTTTTCCTCATCCTCACAAAACCATGTAGGGAAATATGTCCATCATAAATTGTTCAAAATATTGAAGTTTACAGTTTTGAAAATATATGGCTTCCTGCACTCTAAGTTTTCCTCAACAAAAAAAAAAAGAAGCAGAGAAGCAGAGGGGTACAGTTTTCCTTGGGCTTGGTTTGTTTTCTGGTTTTGTCTTTTGATTTTACTCCTTGAACTGGAATGAAAATGTTATTAAAAGTCCAGTACTTCTCAGAAGACAAATGAACAGAAAATGTCAGGATGAACTTGTGCTGTACCTCTCAAGATGTAAAAGAAAAGACGAAAAAAACAATGAGAGAGATAGTGATAATGAAAACTGAAATTCTGTAGACAGAAAACCTCATCTGTTCATCCAAAATTTTAGCTGCTCTTGACACTTTTGTATTTTTTGAAGTTTCTTTATTTAATCTTATGCTCAGCCCTTGCTTGAGGACTTCTCTCTAGTTCTAATTTTTGACATTTGCTTGCTCCTGAGAGGTCTTTGTCTGTTGTGTCTGCTGTTGGCTGTTGTCCTGGGGAATGCACTCAGCACCCACACAGCTGCAGCTCTCCACGTAGGTGTAGGAGTGATCGAGGGAGGTTCCATCACTGCACGTCAGAGTCACCTTCCTTTTGCTGGTCTTGATTTCCTGACAGCACGAGCATTTGTGCACCATTGTGTTTGTTGTCTGAGAATATCTGATTGAAAAAAACAATGAAAGAGAGAGATTCAGAATTTGTGACAAATAACACCTCCCCTCCCACCCATCACAAAGCATAACGAGAAGTTGTGTGCTTGCCTGTGGGACTGTTGCTCAATATTACTATTCTTACACTATTGTGGTGAAATACAGGTAAATTGCTCCGCATTGTGAAAATTAACGACTCTAAGTCTTCATTAAGGCACAGAAAAAGTAAAGAATTATTCCAGATCACATCTTGAGCCAGTCCAGTGAGAGAATAATGAGGAAAAAACCCCTCAGTTTTAAAGAGACTAAATCAAAATTCGGATCTATTCACTGTGACACTGAACGAGCTGTTAAACACTGCATCTCGAGGTAATCAAGCTAGTACAAGGTCATGTTAATTAGCACAATGGAAACACTTGACGACTGGATAGATGTTAAGCACATCAGAAAAACATATGTGATTTGCTTGATGTAACTGGTGTAAAAAGAGTAGAAGACAAGAGGCCACAATTATCTTTTATGCCACTTACCGTGAGTAAGCATCACAGCTGCCTTCACAGTATGTTATCTCAACAGGTGCAGGAGACACACAGCCATTATAGTTGATGACAGTGGTCACGTTGTACTTCATGCAAACTGAGATCATCACAAAGCAAAGGAAAATGAGTTAAAATACGTGTGCATATAAATAGATAGCTGTGTATCATACGATAGTTTGTAACTGAAAACTAAGGTGGATGGAGCTGAAATAGGAAACTAAGTCACAGTGCATTTTTCTATTAATTGCTGAGGGCCAAATGAAGACTTGCTGTTTGTGTTATCAGTGGAAGAAACTTTCCCTTTTTTTAATGCAACTTGGTGCAGGTTGCAGAAATTAAGGGCATTACTGTGGCAATTACTCAATGCACAGAACTGGCTCAGAACTGGCTTCGCTTTCCTCCTTAAAGAGAATGTATCTATGGAAATTGGAGAATAGTCATCGTCCTTACCCTCCCACCAAAAAGCCAGCATTTAACATTTGAGGGTGGGAAAGTTCTCCATCTGTTTCACAAGGACCTAAAACACACAGTGGAAATGTCCTGTTCCTTTTTTTCCACCTGTTTCCTTTCTCACCCCAGTGAAGCAGTGAACCAAAACCCATTCACCTCTTCTGTCTATGCACCCATTGTGCAAAATGGGCTAATACACCTAACAAGGCACACAGAATCAATACTTTTAACAAAACTATTATTACTTACGTTTTGGTATTCTTTGGCACACTAAACAGCAGCCATCATCAGATAATCTGATATCCTCCTTAAGTGGGAAAACACAAAAAGATAACTCAGGTTTCATATCTGCATACTAAAGCAGACTTTCCCTGCTTCTTCGTTTTCTCTGGCACAAGAGACTGTGTATATTTTTGTATTGACATGTAATCTAAATTCAAGCAAGGCTAAATATTAAGGGCAAGTCACTAATATTAATAAAAGTTATTTGAAAGTTGAAATGGAGGAAAACGCTCAGTTTAGTACTATAATTTCAGCAAGCAATAAAGCTCATAGCATGTGTAAGTCAAAATATTGTGACCAAAGTCCGTAGAGGTGGAGGATTATAACAGACAGGGTAACAAAATGAATGAAATAACTGACTTGCCAGAGGCTGATTTTTACTTCTAGGTCACTTGATGCTTTTAGAAATCCAAAATATTATGCTTTTGTCTAATGTCCAATCCTCAGTGAGGATTGATATATCACTCGTTTTAATTTGGAGTTGCTTTTCTGAGATAAAATTTAACTGGAACCAGGTTCAGAGAGGATAAAAGGAGAGCTACTTCCTGCATGATGCTTCTGCCAGTTATTTTCATTGGACACCATGATCCTTCTATCACTGGTGTTAGGCACTGCAACTTTTCCAAAAATGAGAACTGGTAGGTCAGTACTTACAGGATCACACTCATCACGGTTAAAGGCAGGACAGCTTGCCTTTTTGATGACTTGAATGAACTGGTCAACATGTTTTTCACATGTGTAAACAGTACAGTTATCACCAGGTGGATTCCAATATTCTCCTTCCTGAAAGTAGCCAAAATTAAAGCAAATTAAAATCTTATATAAAAATGAAACAACCCCCCCCAATGCCTTATTGTTGCTGTATATAGTAGTTTGATTATTCCAAACAACTTCCCTGAATTTCAGCTGATAATTATTTTCCATATTATCATACTGCTATTAAGTGTTTTTCATTAACCAAGTGAAGAGGCTCTATTTTTATCTGGATATAGATGTGCTTTTTGTGTGAATAGGATAAGTGCAGGGACTCATTTGGAAAGAATAATTTGCATTTCAATGGTTTTGTCATTAGAATTTATGGATGTGTCAAAATGCCTCCACAGATAAAATTATCCTTTGAGCAAAATGGCTGCTACAGTTCCAGAACTGGAGGCAAAAAAAAAGCCTATTGCTTTCACCTATGTATTTTGCCATGTTGATTTCTGAAAGCCACTGTTCAGTATCACATCACAGCTGCTTCCAGACGTCTTAGAACTGGCATTTTTTGGTGCAAGGTATTGTTTAAGCTGTGTGGAGACTGTCCAGTCCCTGCTTGAGTAAGAATTTCTCTAAGATGAAGAAAGATGGAGGAAATAAATGTGACAAATACAGGAAGAGGAAAGAATGGAAAGATTAGCAGAGGTCCCCAAAAGTGAACTAAAGCAGAGGTAATTACATGGAGCACGTGTGTAATGTTGTCTCCCACAGTCACTACACAAGCTGCTGCCTTGCACGTGCCGCAGCACTGCCCAGGTTCCACTGTGTATTTATAGCCCTGTTTGGAAAGAAATGGAGAGACAGTGGCATTAAGTCAGGTCACAGACCTTAGCTATTACTGGAGCTGAGTGGGGCAGGGACCCCTGAGAGCAGCACAGCACTCACCAGCGGGCAGGAGGTGTCACAGACCACAGGCTGGCACCTGACTGTGGGGCGCTGGGGCTTTGAGGGAGACGACTCGGAGCAGGTACATTCTTCACAGGGGCCTGATGGAATGGCAGCTCCAGGCTAGGGCAAGTGGGAAAAAAAAACATTAGCAGTCAGTTAAAACAAGCTGCTCTGTGTATACACGTCACAGAAAATTCAAAGATGAACTGTCTATAGGGTAAGCTATCCCTAAATACAATTTTGGTTGTTTTATTTAAGCAGAGTTTCTGGTTTGGTAATATCGATTTTGGAATAAAATTCTGCTGTCGTAGAAAGGAGAGCAGAAAATGCTTTTGCTTTTACAGGGAGCATTAACCTCAGTGAAATAATGAATAATGTTTTATCTCAGGCCTTCCTACAAAATCTGGACCATGACAGGTGTCTCAAAAACACCTTATTGTGAACTACATGGAGGTGTATTTTTATAGTGAGTAACTCTGTACTTACTGCATAATAGGTTTCGTTGACTACGCAGCCCTGTCCTGTAAAGAAGGAAGAAGGAGGTATAAGTTTTAACAGGCAGAAATGCATGAAAGAACTTCTGCTTTGTAGCTTTGTTGGCCCACGGCAGTGGCCTTTAAACACTCATTCACAACAAGGCCCAATATGGTAACACAGCTAATTTGCATCTCTCCCATAAGGTTTTTGTAACTTAGAAAAATGCAGCAATAAATAGCACATTAAGTGGGTGCACAATACTCACTGCATTCAAAGACAGGACAGCAGTTTCCAGGTGGCATTACTGTGATTATTTCCTGTCCCTCTAAGCACTGGGGTGTGGGGCCAGGGCAGAGGCTTGTGTTGCAGTCTGTTTCATGCAAGAGAATATAGAAAATAATAAGGTCAGAATTTTTGAATTAAAGCAATTTTGTTTCACATGGACTTCTGAAGTTTTCCTGTGGGGTAGATATAGTGGTTACACAAGATCATTTAATGACTAATTCAGTCTATGTGCCAAGGTGTTTTTAATGTGATCAGGCTTTCCCATAACCTTTGTAAAACAAAACAGTGAGAAGAACAGAGTGGTAATTGTTGGAAAGAGAGAATTTCTAAGACAAATTTGTCCCAACGGGGAAATCTGATGACTGTCTGGTCTGACATCTGGTTCTGGAGCTTTCTGGAGCAATTTTTAAATAGTCAGGACTATTTTTTAAAGTTAATTTTACTAATATTGATCTTTGAAATTGAAAATGTTTTGAATGGTTTTTGAATATTTTTTCAGATAGTGGCAGTATTAAAGGCTTTCAATGTTAGATTATAGAAGATTTTCAGTTACTTTTGTAACTGTATGCTCTGCAAGAAGGCTCTAAAAAGCAGGATGAGGGAGAAAAGCATTTTGACATCAATGCAAAGTATTAAAAAATGAGAAATGATTGCTGTAGTTTCCTAAAATTAATATAGCATATTCCCCATGATAAAGAACTAAGACAGTACTTACAGCACTCAGTCCTAGTGCAGCATGGATCTTCTGGTATGGGTATCTGAACAGGTATGTAACCTGGTTCTTCACAAATTACTTGCTGTGTCAGAGAACATTTATGTTTTGTACACGTCACCTTAAGAGTGTTTTTGTCACAGACACATTCCTGGCAATCTTTTGTCCATTTTTCTCCTGGCTAAACAAAAAAGCACAGACAAAGGAAATAAAAAAATTAAATATAAAAATAAACGAAAATAATTTTGCTTCCAGTTGACATATTCATGCATATAGTGATAACTGATTATATCAGCTTTTTCATATTTTAGATTTTATAGGAGACCCTCAAATTGCTTATTGGGGGAAGATATTGGAGGCCACTAAAGGTTCTGAGTTCACAGAGCTATTACTTTCTATTTGTTAACAGCGTTAGTATGAGGGTTACAGGAGCTCTAAAAGAAGTGATGGAACCTCGCATCCATTTTTGAATAAGAAATGATCATATGACATTCTCATTTTCACATTAGGTTGCTGGTTTCTATGCAGCTGAGGAGCTAAGAATGCAGGCTATGAACATGATAAGTAACAGGTAAACTTTGTTATCCATCTTCCCCTTAATTTCTAGTAATTTTAGAGAGCCAAACTTGTGGAATTAAAATAAGCATATATGCCTAACTTCCACTTTTACCATCTCTCTCTTTTTTAAAGTTTTTTTTCCTGTGTGTGAAGTTATTGAAATAATATTTTATGACTTACTATAGAATTTCTTAGGGGTGCTCTAGCACTTATAATTTTTAAGACTGAGAGTCAACAAATATTTGGGATAAAGCTTTGGTTTAGTGGAATACTGAATACCATCTTGTTTCACTTGTCTGTTTTCATCAAGCCACACTTGTGATACTCACCCATCTGGACATTCCATTTGGTTCTCTGCAGACTGGAAAGAAAAATAAAAGACAAACAAATGAATGGGTATTTACACCACTGAAAACTGACAAAGGAGTACATATGTGCAGTTTCAAATAAAAACACTGTGAAGATAAAGCTAACAAGAAAATGAATATGCAGACTAGTTTTGCTGAACTGTAGAATTCTACCATCTTGGTGGATCTCACATAAGGAAGGATGATGGGAAAAAAATGCAATATTGACTATTATTCAATTTGTAACTGGGGACACTTAGAGAGGCTGATTTGCAATGATCTGACCATGCAGAAGATCACTATAGAACTCAGGCCTGCTGACTAACAATCCAAATCTCTATTTATTCCCCAAGCTAGCTACAGATGACTTACCACATTCAGAGACACAGATGTTGCTCTCTGCATGCAAGAGTGTCAATCCTTCAGGACAGAAACAGCCTTCAGTTATTCCATAACCAGGACGCTCATAGCTGGAATGGGAACAATGTATGTGCTTGAGTACAACACTTCTGTGGTGAGGCAGGGGGCAGAGCAGCGTATTGTGTCAGATACAAGACAAAAAAATTTACACTTTCCTAAGGGCAACAGAAAGCACATGTTCCTAGAGCTGACTGGTATTTATAAACCTTGAATAAATTAGTCAAAGTCACAACACATTTCATTATGGAATAACTCGAATTTCTGAGGAAAGTAGATAGATAAGAAAAATATAAGCAGATGTTTCAGGGTGGGGTTTTTTTTTTTGTTTGCTTTTCCTTACCTTTGGTCACAGTTAACTGGATTAATGGGCCCGCATGGCTTATATACCAAGCTTGATGGACAGCTGAATGCTGTATAGAAAAACACAAAAAAAAAAAAAAAAAAAAAAAAAAAAAAAAAAAAAAAAAAAAAAAAAAAGATTAAAAATTGACAGTAAATGTATTTGTTTCCAGAAAAAAATACTATAGCTTTTCCTTCTTCACCTGCAGCTTCTGTGAGAAGGACCCCACTGGATATTTGTAGACAGTAACCAAGTGTCAGATATGAGTTTAGTTAATAAAACACTAATTTCTAGCATCTATCACACACATTTTGAGCCCTGCAATACTTACAACATGTATTGTTGGTCATTCCTCTCCAGTCAATGCAGACACCTCTAGCAGCACACTCTGTTGCATATATCTCTAAACTAGAACACTGCATGAATTCATCATCTATGCGACATCCATCAAAAACACAGCCTTTGAAAAATGGTTCTGGTGGTATCACGGAATGACACTCTGCAAAAACCCTGCAGGCAGTAAAGAAAGCAAACCCCTTCTATGTTAATGAGCCGTTATACAAAGACTGTTCCTGTCAGACAACACTTTCCAGTTAATAGCATGTGACTCTGGTTCAGAAAGAGAGGGATGAGAAACAAAACCCTAGGGATGGCCAATATGCCAGGAGATAGATTTGGGAAAGATTAAGAAATCTGAAGTGCCTTTCTTTTCTAAAGATGTTAATGGTCGTAGTATTTCTGTACGTGTACTCAACTTTTTAGCAGTTTGACACCAGAAATTTAGTGTAAAAGGCAACTGCACCAGATTGAGAAAAAAGGAATGAAACAAAAGTGGCAATGGAAAGCTCACACATAAAATAGCTCCAAACTTACTAGATACTACAGAAAGCATGAATAAGAGGGCCTTTATAAATAACTTGTCTGAAGAAAGCTTTTCTCAGCCTACACAAGTAGAGGAAATACTTCAGGAAAACAAGCCTTTGTGCTTTTCAAACTCCACGTATTAGGTAAAATGTACAAAGAATGAAGGACGTTTCTCAGCTGTTTCTGCCTGCTCTCTTCACCTCTTTGGTAACTGAGTTCTTTATGATTTGTACCAAAGACCCTGTTCAAATTTAGAGTTCAGTCCTTGCTTAATAGTTAATGGGCATAATCTGAAAGTATTGCATCCAGGGATTATTGATTTTAGTGCTTGCTGCATCCCTGATTTTCTGACTTCACCTCTCCTTGTTCACTTGTCTTCGGAATGAAAGTCTTCAAGGCAGACCAGTTTCTTTTGCAAAGGCCTTTTACTATATAGATTCTGTTATTAAGCTGACATTTTCAGCTGTTATCACATGCTAAACCTATAGCTGTTATTCTTCTTTTAAGATACTTAGACATTTTTGCCTAGAAAAAAAGAATTTGTTTTCTTACTCGCTCAAGATAAGCTTGCAGAGCCGAGGTGTTTCACATTGCGGCTTTGGTGGAGGCGTGGTTACAGCTGGTGGTATTGGTACTCCATGGCAATCCTTGTTGTTGTCAACAATCCAGTGGTGAGCCATTTGGGGACAGGAGGAAATGATCTTACCACTTGGTAAGCGGCATTCATCTGCTTTATTGTTTGTACACGTTCCTGCAAGAGACAAGCTGGGTAAGTCTTATAGGCCACGCCAGAGATGCACAGGACATTCTTGGCCTGATATGTTTAGGTGTGATGTGCTCATGAAATGCATATTTTGTCTTGCTTCATAGGGAGTGCTTTCTCTAGTTATATGAACTTTAGGTTATGGAAAAACATATGTAAAACCCCAACCCCCAAAAAATACTGAGCTTTTGACATCCTACAGAAGTTGAAGAGCAGAACTGTATTCATTTCCATTTACTGCTGTTTAAAAATTTCTGTAAATTTTAAGACTGCATAGCCAGAGCAGGTGAGCATAACCAAGGTAGGGGTGGGGAAAGAGGAACCCCTCCAATTTTTGTGTCCCTCTTACCACATTGTCCCTCGGTGTTGTTGCCAAATTTGCTGTATGGGAGCTTCACAGAGAAAATCAGACCACTAAAGGTGATAACAGCACCAATTTCTTCTATTTCAACAATCATATTGATGCCAAGAGTGGAGAAAGAAATGCCATCTTTTTTGAAGCCTGGTTGAACAATCTTTTTGTTGAAGTACATCTGAATGCAGGGTTAAAAAAAGAACAAAACACCACATCAGAACAAGCACTGCTTCTGCCTGATTGCTGTAAATAATATATTTTCTAATCTTCATAATTATGCATAACTCCATATTGTTGTCCATCACATCCAGTGACCATTGGCATCCTAATGACAGCATATATTTGCATTGATATCTTGGCTTGTATTGCTACAACGTGTTAATAATCTAACTGTACTGTATTTGTGCTGATTATATACCAATACACAGTATTCTTAGCATATAAATCCAAGTGTTTTCATTGTATTCTTCATGATTATGCATATTGGAAACATTTTTCGTATGAAAATGAGTGGTAGTTTTCTTTAGCTACAGAAACATCCCTGCCATTGTTATGTAATAACTTTGCCAGATAATCACACCATCCCTATATTACATAGTAATTGATGTTGGAAGTGTTGTCTGAATTCAAAATGAAGTCAGACACCCTTAGTGCCAGTTTTATGTAGTATTGATCATATTTATTTGTTAAACTTTTCAATTTGTAGCCAGTATCTTATATGAGCTAATAAAGGTAAATATATTTGTCTAATAGTATTTTGTCAGAAGTTATTCTGTAACTCTCTTCTCACTGAATCGGGCTAAAGCATGAGTTTAAATTGTCAGTTACTGTTTTCTTTCACAGGGAATCACTGGAACCAACGAGCTTCTGATTAAGAATTTGTGGCATGGCACTGTGAGGCAAGAGTGCCTATTCAGATACTCTTCTCCCTTTCTATAGATTCTCTAATCAAGTAACAGATTCTCCAGTGTAAGAGGGGGACTATCTTTTCATTTTCATTGGTTTGCCAACACTACTTTGGATCACGAAAGTGAGGTGACTGTCTAAGTCAACCCTTTTCTTCAGCGATACTTTTCTCCACAGTAGGAAATTGAAGGGGGAATCATGTCAGTGCTGTTCAGTGCCTGAAGATCCATATGTAGAGAAAGCATTCCTAGTCATCCAGCAAAAAAGGGATACATATCCATCTTCCCCTCAAAAGAAGACGCCTGCTTTCAACTTGCACTTGTGTTTCTTCAGTGTGTTCACATAAGTGTACGGCACAATGTACCACTTTCCATGAAATACAAATTTTGTTCTTAGCATCCAGTGCAATACTTTTTTCCCTCCCGGTGATACAATCTGCCCTGATCACCTCCATGATGTGGTATTATAACAGACTATCTCAGAATAGCATCAGCTAGGCTTATGGACACTATTTCTTTTTTTACAAAAATAGAAAAGAAGTATTTACCACATTAGTCATCACACCATTCATGAGTTCACGAGTCAGCACCACTTCTGCAGATTTGTAGAAAATAAGAATGGATTTAGGGCAGGAGAGTCCATCTTTTGCATCGCAGTAATAATTGTCAATGTAAACACGGAAGTTGTCATATCTAGGGACAATCTGTTTCACCAGGACATAAGTGCAGTTTTCAAGGAAGGTATAATAGGTTCCATCAAAAGTAATGTAATGAGGATCACCCCATCCACTACATACACCTGGTACAGAGAAAATATTGGAAGATTAAGATGAGAATTTATGTACAACAAAATTTAAAAACCTGAAGTGTGGAAGGAGCAGAAACCCTAACAGGCCCTCCTTGGAAAGCTATCCCTTAGATAAGAAACTGCTTACTTAGAATGACTAATACTAGGAATAGTCTCCCCGCTTTGGAAACCCCCATTTTATGTCTCCATGATATTACTGGTCCATTTTCAATTCTCTAGGTAATTGGTCCCTTTTTTACCTAAAATCCCTAGTAGCTGGTCCGTTTTAGAATCCCATATATTATTGGTCCGTTTCTAAGACACCCTGACCCTATAAAATCCCCTGTTAGTACCCTGTCCATTGGATTGCTGCCTGGAACTCCTTCATGGAAGAAATAAAGTATCTGCAGAATCTCTGTGTGGCTTTCTTGGTTTCTTTCCTCTGCTGGCTAAAGGTACTTTGCAATCAAGGCTGAAAGAGCTGAAAGCCTGGACTCCAGGCATTGCTTGCATCCTCATACTTCGTGGCTGAAAGCTGCCTGAGACACCAGGAAAGGCTGTTCCCTACAGGACAACTTATCCAGGCACATTGTGGCAGTTTGGGGCCCAAAACCCCCAAGCTCTGACAGCTACACTGAAGATACTGCAATTTATAGAGCAATTCTAAGAAATGAAAATATCTCTATAATCTGTGTAAAATTCAGGTTGGTTTTTTTTTCCCATAAAATGTTATTCCTGAATCTATTGGTGCGTACATTGACACTCATATCGGTAACAGCATCCGTTTTCATCAGGTACCAGCATTGGTGGATATTTGTTTGCACAGGTAATTTCCTTTACAGGTGGGCAGTATGTTGGTACTACGTCTATATCATTGTCTCCATTACAGATGACTTCTGTACAGTTGGATAATTTGAATCTTTCTCCAGGCTGAAAAATGAAGAAAAAACTTTTGTCACAAAACTCTGCAAACAGGCATAATCTTTACTCCTCTTCTTAGATTTATTCTATGATGCTTCCAGTAATGGTGGTGTCAAAAACTAAATCAGTATGGATAGAAAAATGCTTACTTTTCTAAATCTAAAACAAAGACTAAAATGAAAATTTTCTCTCATAGTAAAAAGTTGTCTACAGCTTTTCTATATATTCATATATAGAAACAAATATTCTACAGAATTAATTTTCAATGCTAAAAGAAGTTGGGAACATTAACTAAACTTGTTTCTTCTGCACGAAGAGCTCTTCTGGGGCTTGGGCAACATGTATTAGGTTACAGGAACAGATTTCCTCTATTCTATGTATAGCATTCTTCAAGGTCAACAGAGAACATAACAATAAAAAAGTTTAAAGGAGTACAGATAAAAGGGCAGGAGAACAAAAGCAGATACAAGCCTTGACTACATCTTAAATGTTTTCCCTTAGTGAGAAAATAAGATCCACAAGAAAACTCCTTCTATATGTCAGTGGGAAGACACATATGCAGTTCATCAAAGAGTTTTATGAAAAATAAAGCAACAAGAAAAGAATATTGTAACTGGCTTTAGCAGAACAAAAAAATGAAATTCAGAAAAAGGAAAAATCAAATATTATGTCCTATACATTGCCCATCATGAGCAAAAAAATTAAGAGAATCAGCATATGTAAGGTTTAAAGACTAGAAACTATTCCAATCAAGTACCACACAAAAAAATTATATCAACAGTCAAACAAACCCACAGAAAATACATACTTGTAATGGAGGGTAAGTATTGGAAACACAACCATGAAAAACAGCACTTGTAGGGGTGGGAGAAGAAGGAACTGATGTTGTAACGGTAGACCACTCAGAGGAAGTAGTGGATGGTGAAGATATCATGTTACAATGCACACTGTGCCTTTCAATATTACATGTTGGGCTACAGACGGCATACAATCTGCATCCGTCACTATCCAATCTGTCGTAAATCAAGTCACCTACAGACAAAAATAGAGAAGAAATATTAAAAGAAAAGAGAAAAAAATAGAAAAAGATTAATAAAAAACCATAAAAATTATGGAAAAAAAAAAGGAGAAAATTGAAAATAAATAAAGATGTTCCAAAATAAAATAAACTAACCAGGCGAAAAAATTGCATCACCAATCTTGCAGAAACATGGTGTAGTTGAAATGTGAGACAAAGTAGTGGTTGAGAAAGGCTGACTTGGTGTAATAATAGTAGATGTGCTGGTGGTGGACGAGAAGGTAGAGAAAGGGCAGTTGTAGTTGGGGGTGCAGCAGAGCACACGGATCCTGTAGTTGAGGCACATCTTGAACTTGCCCGTCTGGTCCTCGTTCTTGCACACCAGTCCAAAGTGGACGTTGCACTGCACGACCTGTCCCACCTGCTGGATGGGTACATCGGGGTAGTCCTCTGCCTGGCACTCGATCTGCTTTGGCTGCCTGCAGACTTGCTTGCCGGCTGCACTGATGTGCTGGTAGGTTTCAAAGTCTCCCTGGTTGGGCCCCGAGGAGGGAAAGTCTACGTCAAACCACTCGCTCCAGGTGCACACTTCGGGTTCACAGCTGGTGGTGGTGGTGGATGTGGTAGTTGTAGTGGGCGTAGAAGTGCTGGTTGTGG